TAGTACTATGACTCGACAAGCCCTGTGGGATTTTCGTTGCAATCCTCAGTTTCCCTACCGTTGTGCTGTAGTTACCAAGATCGATGGTAGTACTTCGAAAGAACTTTTGCAGCTCAGAAAAATTGGTTATGGAGAAGAGAGTGAAGCTCAGTCTCCACCTGTGTTAGCGTTGGTTGAGGACACAGATGACTTTTTGTTCCGAGAATTCAGGTCACAAGTTGTGGAGCACGCCAACAAACTTCCCAGAACTCATTTGCCAGTGTGCGTGTTTCTTTATTGCAAACCCACCCAAAAGCCATTGGACTGTCATCTGAAAGAACCGGAAGCAAGCGTTTTCCTTGAGCAGCATCTTAGTCAGAAGGAAGTAGATTGGTTCAAAGACAAGTGTAAAGACATGAAACGGGAATCCCGCAGCAAAGACCCGGAGCATGATTTTGAAAATTATGCCAATGAAAATTTAATATCTTTTATGGTAATGAAGGAGAATTATAATCCGAAGTACACCTATAGTGTTGTTCAGAGAAATTTAGATCTTGTGATTGGGGATGAACTAACATTGCTGAAGTATCTATCCCTTCTGAACCTCTACAACCCAAACCCAGTGTTTTCCTCTTGCTTCGATACTTTAATGTTATCGGATAGCCTTCGAAAAAGAATCTGCCGGGATTGGGTGGAAGATCTTACCCACTCAGCTCGAATTTTCTTACGAGAAGTGGACTGCAGTACACATTCTGGGTCAGGGAAGGCCATCGCCATTGTTCATCCAATTATTGCTTGCGAGTTACTGGACCAGATAGCGGTGAAAAACGCTTCAAGTGTGAGTAAAATTACCTTGGACTTTTTGGAGTCGTCGTTGTTAGAAAGTCAACCGACACGGTTTACCTCCAAAAGTCTATTTGATGGTGCAAATAGAATGCTTAAGAATCGAAAGAAGTTCGAAAACGGCGATGACGAGCAAACAAAGTTCTCACCGTTAATTGAGAAGATTTTGTATGTAAAAGACGCAGGCGATGGTGAAAAGAAAGCAACGGAACAAAGTATACATGAAGCTGCAGAAGTCCTTAGGAAAGGGTTGGATAAATTTCAGGATTCTATGCTTGCTCAGCAAATGGCGAGAGTTTTTTACGTCAACGCTGGAGCCTTTTCTGAATCAAGAATAGACGAGTGCTTTGACCACGCCTTAACATTCTGTAAGAAGGCAATTGAAATGAATCCAAACAATTCTTTTTTGTTTGATACGATGGGCCGCATACATGAGGCTAAAATGAAAATTTTATATGGTCCTATCCGCAAGGATAATCGTATCATAGAAATAAGCACTGTCACTCCAGTCCTTCCGCTTGCTTTTGAAGCAATGAAATGGTTTAAAAAGTCGCAGGCAGTATCAATGGATTATCAAAACATGTGTGGTGTCCGTGGTGAACTTTCTGTGATCTTCTACCTGCTAGATGTTCTTCGATGCACAGGACTCTTCAGAGGTGAAGAAGGCTTAAAAAAGATACAAGGGTACCTCGCTTATCGTCAAGTTATACCACCTGATGTTGATAAACCTTGGCGAGAGTTTCATGAGGCATTCAGAGACCTGAAAAACCGATTTAGTAATTGCATGGAGGGTCTTGCGGAAGAATTTACAATATACAAAGGGAATAGTGCAGAAGCAATACTACTCCCCAAACAAATTGCTTGGTTCAAGGCTCAGTACCATACTTACTTTGGGGAAGGTGACTTGAAATGGAACCTTGACATCCCTGAAGAACGATGGGAGAACAGGTGGCAACAGATCAATCAGTATCTTGCTGGAGATGTATTTTCAAGTGTATTTAAAATTGATCGTGCTTTAGCTGATGAGGAGAAGCCAGAGGAAACACTTCAGGTGCTTAACAATTTAGCACATGAAAATGATTGTGAGACCATACACCCGGACCGGTATAAAGATTTACTACTCTATATTACAAGTTGCATGGCTCTTCACTCTCCATACGGAAATCGATCAAACAAAAAATCAGATTTTGCGAAGCTGATTCAGGAATATAAAGAAATCTACAAGTTTGTAGACCAGTTACTTTCAATAGAAATAGCTGATGAAGGATACAAAAGGCTTTACGCACATCTGCTTAAGGTGATGTTTCTTTGGCCTCGGAAAGATTTGGAGTTAAACGACTGCCGTGTACAAGATTTTTATGAGGCATTGCGAAAACTTCAGAAAAGATGGGAAAGTAAACGTAAGAGATGCATTGACACGGATAAAATGCTGAAACAAAACGTGTACAAGTACATGCCGTTTAAGGAAGAGACAAGACAGTATACCACACTTTTCTATTTGGGTAAAGGTACCGGACTTGACGTTTTTGTTCATACAAATGAACTTGCCCAGTCCAGTCGAGGATCCATAGACTGGAGAGATCGTAGAACAAAAAGTAGACTAGAACGACTTACAGGAGTAGTGGAAAGTAGAAACATTATAAGATTGAAAAACCCTCTCGATCAGAGTCGAATGATCGATGTCTATTACTCTTCTTTTCGAGAGGGAGGATTTTCTAAGGAAGAAGTATCATTCTTCTTGGGATTCAGCTGGCAGGGACCTATCGCGTTGGACGTTAAGTATACAAATTCAGATCACGTCAAGCACTCTGCGGAATCTAGCGATGCAGTCTTAGGTGACCAATTTCCGTTAAGTCTACCGAAATATATTGTAACTTATGAAGAATACACCTCCAGGATGGGAAAACTGCTGAAAAAGCTTGGTGAAATAGATTCCTTAAAAAGGAAGAAGAAAAAAGGCGACAAACTGGATGAAAATCAGGTAACTAGCAATGACTGTTTTACTTGTCCTACCGTGTTCAGATCTATGCTAGGTCTGATCGCGCAATGCAAACTTAAGGTCGGCACAAACTAAGGGACATGTTGCGGGGATGTGACGTGGGGACAAGCCCCTCTCGTTTTTTGCAGGGACAGTACGCAAGCTGGCAACACGTCCCCTAGCATGTACCGACATTTAAGGTTCACAGGAGCTCTCATTGAATGGCGAGGTTTTGTGCTTGTAAACGCTTAAACAATAGGTCCTAGTGCAGTTATAGTTGTGGCAGTGTGTTTATAATGTCCCTACTTTCTCTAGCTTTTAGTTTCCTTTTACATTAGACATTTTTCTTCTTAAATTATCTAATTTAGTTCACATGTATCTTCAGTTTTGATTCAGTGGATCTATGATGCCGGCTGTGCGAGTGCTGTGCGTGTCTGTGTTGTGTTTTTAGCTCCAGGCCACATTGCATGTACATGTAGATTTAGTCAATCGACCTTTATTTCAGTTCATCTGTCTATATTACACCTTAACATTGGCTGCCTGGCCCCGTTAGCTTTATGGTCATTCCGGGCAGCCAGTACCCTATCTAATTTAATTATTGCTTGTAACTTATAATGTAGTTACGAGTGCAAATAAAAAGGCTGTGGCATATTTTCACAAGTAGAAGTGCTTGTTCAAAGCAATTAATGGGAACTCTCATTTACGCCTTTTAAATGGAACTTTTAGTAATGGTTAAAACAGCCTTTTATTTTCCAGTTGGAGTTATAAATGGTTAATTCGATGACATTTCTTTTTTGTCACGACAATTTTGCATGAAGTTTAATTTTTGGGCTGTGCACGTGTTGAAAGTTTATGTCAACGAAGAAAGTTGGTGCAATTGGCTTCACATTGTCGTTACCTTAATTAAAATGTTTTGCATTGCATTTTCTTGATATGTTTATTCACAGGAAAAGAAGATAAGCAAAGAAGTGGACTTCAAGCGACAGCTGCAAGAGTTGAAACAAAGCCTTGATGCTCTGGGTGTCCTTGAAGAAGAAATAATTAACTAGGTCACATTGTTTATAAAATAAAGGGACGAAGCCAGATTCTTATCAAGTGTTACCGTCAGCCCATGGAAAGAAAAGTGAGAGTCGGTTCGTAATTAAAAAATACGAGGATTCTGTTTCATTAGTTAGGGTTAGAATCATCTTCAGACTGTTTTTAGTTTCCTCTCATTCCAGGATAAAACGTAAAAAAAATCCCTATATTAAATGAGGTTCGGCTTACGAACCCTGTACGAACCGGTTGCTACTTTCACTGTTTGTTCGGATTGTACACACCGAGTTGTTCATCGTAAGGCTGCTTTGGCAGATCGCATCGGTTCGCCTGCGCTGGACAGGCCCGAAAAGGTACGGAGTGGTTGGGAGATTTCCAGCGAGAATTTCTCCTTCTCTCGCGCCTCTTAGTCGTAAGCTAAAGGAAATATGCAAAGTACGGAGTGAGTAGTCCCTCTGTTTTTCTCTGTTTGGTCTTTAATGAGCCAAATATGGAAATATAAATAATAGGGGGACTGATTACATATACCGAAGTTCCTTGTTAAATGTTGAGATGCGCAATTCGAGTATTCAGTAGAGCTAATGATGTCTGACCTAGATAGTTTGGTTTATCAATTGTTGGAAAAAATTGGTAGCAAAACAGTCGATACTTTCACGAGCGAAAAGTTTGAAGGATTATACCAACATTATGGAAGGAAGGAGCAGAGTCTTGCACATAAAAACATTTAGCATCTATTTGTAAAACACTTTATATTATATTATGCCACAGAAATAGTTGCCTAACTTTCTGTTCAGCCCTTAAAGGCTGGTTTTCATTGGCGACGGAGTCGGAGTCCTAAGAGAGCTTACGATCTAGTGAAAATCAAAAATCGGAGTCGTAAGCGGAGTCATAAGTTCGACGGAATCGCAGTCGGAAGAATCAGAACGTTTCCATTTCTTCCGATTCCGTTTAAGACTCGGTCGTTTATGATCCAATGAAACTAGGTTGTCGGAGTCGGAAGCAGAAACGGAAGAACCAACCAATCAAAAGGCCCGGAAATCGAACAGTGTGATTGGTTTATTCTTCCGCTTCTGCTTCCGACTCCGCCAATCTAGTTTTTACTGGATCGTAAGCGACGGAGTCGTAGGCGGATGCGGTGTTCTGCTTCCGACTCCGTCAGTTTGATTTTCACTAGATCGTATCACTCTACGCTTCTGATTACGACTTCGACTACGACTTCGTCGCTAGTGAAAACCAGCCTTAAGAAGAAGAAAGTAATTTATACATTCATTTGCAGTTGTAAAGTAATGATAAGACTCGTAGTAATCAAAGATTATGAGGATGCATTCGACGCCGTCTTTTAAATAAATGATTTCACTAGCTGACTTTCAACCTCTGTCTATTGGTAAAATCAACATTTTTCATCAACAACCGAGGTTTTACAGACATAGCATAGTGTCAAAGTCCATTACTTCAAACCTTCGCGGGGCTACATTGGTCGATTTTTTTTTGGTGAAGAAAATTAAAGTCCGTGAAGCTCAAGTTAGCATACTGTGAAGGCTAGGGGTTCTGTTATTTCATTGGCTCGTGGCTTTTCAAGTTGACACATTCCTCTGTGAAGGCGTGATA